GGACCTGCTGCCCTTCCCTGCCATGCTCCTGAAAGCATCCGGGGACACCCCGAGTGACACCAGAGGCACTGTCAGGGACCATACCGCTTGGGCCTCCAAGAAGAGCAAGCCCAAGGGTGACTCCCAGTCCTGGCAGAGTCCCGGGGAGCCCGGTGCCCAAGACGCCGCGAAAGGCGGTGGGCCTTCGGCGGAGGCCACGCCACTCTTCCGGCCGCTCTTCCTGAAGTCGTCGGAGTCCCTGGTGAGCCACGAGCAGATGCAGGTTTTCCAGATGATTACCAAGTCGCAGGGCATCTTCACCGCAGTCCAGTTCCCCGGGCCCAAGGCCAAGCCGGCCGCCCTGAGGTTGCTGCCCGGCTTGTGGCCGCAGCAACCCGCTGTGGACACTGTCCAGGTCAGCCCTGGAAATCTGGAGCCCGAGGGGTCCTCAGCCCACAGGAAGAAGTCCACGCCGGCCTTTCCCTGTGAGGCCTCCCCCGGCAGCGCGCAGCAGGAGGCCAAGGCAGGACCAGAGACGGTCACCGCTCCACCATCCCTCTCGTCCTCGGCCGTGGCCGTGGACCCTTCTCCTAACCCAGACGTCTCTTCTCTGGCCAAGGGGCTGCAATCTGCAAAAGGGACACTGGACTTGGGGGACATCTTCCCCTCCACCTGCCCATGGCAGAGCCAGCCAGGGGGTGATGAGGCACCTGGTACCCAGCTCCCTGGGAAGCAGGCCCAGGCCCAGAACCGCACAGCCTCGGGGGCCAAGAGAGGCAACAAGGGCCCTGCCTTCTCCCGGGGCACAGGCTACAGACTCTCCTCAGGCAACTCCAGGGCCCAGCGCTTTTCCGGCTCCCGGAAGAAGAAGGTGAAGATGGATATTTGCAGTGTGGCATCTCCAAGCCAGGTAGCCATGGCCTCCTTCTCATCAGCTGGGCCTCCAGCGGAGCCCTCACGGGATGCCAAGTCCAAGCTGACCATGTTCGACAGGATCCAGGTACCTGTCCCCTTGGGGAGAGGCACTAGCCAGCATCTGAGGCCAGTGTCATCTGTTGCTTTAGCATTTATTAAGGAGTCCTGGTGGCATAGCAGATAAGCACTTGACTGTGAACCAAGAGGTCAGAAGTTCAAACACCCAGTAGCTCCTGGAGAAGAATGAGGCAGTCTGCTTCTGTACTAAAGATTTCAGCCTTGGGAAACTTATGGTGTAGTTCTACTCCATTCTCTAGGGGTGCTGTCAGAATCAACTGGATGGCAGTGGGTTTGGTTTGTGCTCTGCTTCCATAAAGATTCTCACTGCTGTCGAGTTGGTCTGACTCATAGCTACCTCTCCTTGCGTTTCTGAGGCAGTATCACTAGGGAATTAGACTGCCCAGTCGTCCTTCCGAGGAGTGGCTGGTAGGTTTGAACCACCAGCCTTCTGGTTAGCAGTCAAATGCCTTAGCGACTATGCCACCCGAACCTTGGAAACCCTGTGGTGCAGTTCCACTCTGTCCTCTGGGGGCACTGTGAGTTGGAATCGACCCCATGGCAGTGGGTTTGGTTTGGGCTTTGCT